GGGACGCTGTTGGTATTGTACGTTATAACCGCAGGCTTTTCACCCGGGAAAACTATGAGAACTATGAAAGTGTGACATGACAAAAGACAAGAGTGAAAACTGAGCAAAACTGGCCTGTCTGCAGAAGGAAAGGTGCCTAGGCTGTTACTGACATTGGGGATAGGCAATGGGGGCAGCTGAACCTGCGCCAAACATGGGCTAGCTGCAAGGGTAGCCGAGGGCAAACCAGGTTCAGCACCCTTTCAGCCAGGGGGATTAAAACGGAGGGAAAGGGTTGGGTGGCCCAGGAGCGGGGAAGAGTGTGAGACTAGGGGAAGGGGAGAAGGAGATGGGAGAGGTAGTGGATCAGGGCCGGAGAAAGGGGAAGAAAAGTTGGGAGAAGAGGGACACGGGCAGCGAAAGGCAGGGGCCAGAGGAGAAGGGGAGGTGGGAAGAGGGGAAGGAAAGGGGTGCGGGCGGGGAGTCCGCCAGGGCACAGCCTGTTTGCCATTAGCCTGCAGCACGGTGGGGACTGGAGGAGAGAGCGCCTGGGATGCTTCCTGATGAATAGCAGAGGGTCCGGGCCGTGACCGCAGGCTCAGCATGTGCTGGAGCCTCGCCGCACTTTCCCAGCCCCCCTGCCAGGATGGGGGGAGGGAGGGAAGGGAAGAGAGGCAGCGAACGGGACAGGGCGATCCGCATCCAGCAGCGTAACCAGCAGCCCGGGGCCGCGGCTTCCTGGAAGCGGAGCGGGGAGGTGGGGACAGGCAGCCGCGATAAGGCGGCGGCTATCGGGGCGCCAGCTGCGGAGCTGGGCAGCAGACGGCGCACGCCCGGCGGAAGGTGCGGAGCCCGGGTCCCTCCCGCGCTGAAGGCAGGTAGGAGACACCGCGCTGCGGGGAAGGGCCAGATCCTGCCGGCCGGCGGTGGGAGGATGACCCGAGCTCGGGTGGCCACGGGGGCCGCTCGGGGGTAGAGGGGAGGCGCTGCCCGCCGCCGGTGCACCCGCCACTGTGGGAAGGGGCTAGAGACACCAGAAGGGGGAAAAAAAGATGCTTCCGTGGGGGGTTTCCAGCAGGGGTCGGTGCACCTGCAGGGGGTGTGCATGTTCCCAGGTGGGTAGCCACTCCGAGATGTGCAGGCACCGGGGGGACAGTCACCAGCCAGGCGCATGCATCTATCTGTAGGAGGGGCACAGGCACCGAGGGCTGCAGATGCACCTACAGGGGGTGCACAGCCACGCAGAAACCCTGGAGGAGGGTGTAAATGCACACCCGGGGGAGCCCCGGATGGAGCCGGAGGAGGAGGATGGCTGTCTGCAGCAGGTGGGAAAAGCAGGGCAAAGGCACAGGGCACTGCTTCTCCCACCGTATTTTGGATGTATCATTGCCTGGACTGGTTACACTGGAATGACTCTTTTTAGACTGCATGGAGATGGTTGTGTTTGCTCATAAATATAGACTCAGGTTTTGGGTCTCAGGCCAGTTACATTTTGCCTTTGACAATGTTTAGATTCTCTGTAAAAAATGTTTCAATTAAGTTGGGCCATATGGAAATTGCATTGGTCATCAACTAAGGAAGCGCAGTGTTGCTAGGAAAAAATAAAGTTTTGTATTTGTGTTGGAGAGTATACGGGATGGTGGTCAGAGCAAAGGGCTGGCATTCAGCACTCCTGGAGTCCATCTTTGGCAACAGAACCAAGTCTTAATCCCTATGTGCCTCAGTTTCCCCCGCTGTAAAATGGGGATAATTATCAAACCTATTAATGAGATTTAATTATTTTTTGTAATGCATTCATGAAAGGCTTTATGGGAATGAAAAGAAGATTATATAGAAGGATAACAAACTATGTAAAATTCACCTTGAGGGATATTTGGTATTGAATATAGTGACACATGTCCTAAAAACAGCTAGTTGACAGTGGTGGCTAATGAAATGTGAATCTGAGAACACCTTACACACAAATCTAGCCTTGGTGTCGCTATTGATTCTCCTCATGCTATGCTGCCTCTGCTATTCATTTAACTTTGCGGAGTGCGTGACACATGCGCTGCATGCAGAGTAGAGAAGAGGCTGCACAATACACACCAGACAGGATAGACCTGATGTCAATGAATGGCAAGTCAAATTCCACTTGTTTGCCTAAGGGATGGGGAAGTGAGTCACTAAAGATACACATACCCTGCATCTATGACATGACATTGCACAACTGGCCTGGTATACGGTGGGGTCTTATGAAGGATGAAGTATCCAGCCAGCAATAATGGATTGGGAGGATTGGTGAACTGCCCTGGGATGACATCTCCAGTATCCCTATCTTATGCTCTGCCTTGGAATCAGTTTGTAGCAGAAGTAAAATACTAATATTTCTATGTGGATGACATAGAGCCAAGACCTGGGAATCATAGGCCAAACAGTGGGATGGGTCCTGGGCTTCTCTGTGAGTGAATGTAGAGAGGAGAGGATTCCTTTCCATCAGATTAGAGCCCTCTGTGTTCTCTAAAACTTCCCTCCACAGGGGCAATGGTTAGTGGATCCTTGTAGCTGCTGTTCTAACAACCCCACCCCATTTCCTCCCTGAAATTTGTCCCTTTGCAAATGCAGGATCTAGTTTCCCCAAAAAGAATCTGGTAGGTGTCGTCTTCTTTTTTGATTGTAAAGCAACTACAAGATCCAGTTTACTTGGAGGGAAGGGTAGCAGAGGGGTAGCCGTGTTAGTCTGAATCTGTAAAAAGCAACAGAGGGTCCTGTGGCACCTTTGAGACTAACAGAAGTATTGGGAGCATAAGCTTTCGTGGGTAAGAACCTCACTTCTTCAGATGCAAGAACATCTTGCATCTGAAGAAGTGAGGT